TTTGCCCTGGCTGTAGCTCCCGGGCACTTGTCACTGCACCAGCTGTAGCACCTTATGTCCCCAGTACTCCTCCCACCGGGGTCATGTGTCTCCCAGGAACAGTCAAGGTCCACAAACAGCCAGACCTAGGGGCCCTGTGTGTCTGAGAGGCCCAGGGTGACTCCTGGCCGGAGCTCACCCTCAGGGAAGGGCTAGGAAGTGAGTGTGAGGGCTGCTGACCAGCCTGGCGCTGGTCCAGGACAGGGGAATCCGTGCCCTCGGTGCACCTGGGGTCCACATCTGCTTACTCACTAAATGTCAACCACAACCCCCGTTTTCCAAATCCGGGCTCAAGACCTCACAGTGACCTTTGACCCCTCCTTGCCGACCTCCCATCTGCCCTTTCCTGCCCCTGCTCTACCCCTCCCCTCAGTGCCCCCAGCAGCTACAGCCCTGTCCCGAGCCCCAGAGCTGGTGACGGTGCCACCCCAATTTGTTCCACCTGCCCCTTCACTCCCCATGGCCTGAGGATGTGATCAGCAGAAGCGTGGGTGTTTTCTGGTATGTTAAAGCAAATCATGGTATTCCGCTCCTGACTAAGCTACTTAACGCCCACCCCGCCTCCCCGTGAGACCAGGGCAGAGGTGTGGGAAAGAAAGCACCAGCCACAGCCCTAACCAGGCCCTGGGCAAGACTTCGGACTCATTTCCTCCAAGTGAGCACTTAGAAAAAACTTCCTCCTTCCTGGTGAGACTGTTTAACGAGGCAGGGATTGTGTACAGCAGGCTCCTCCAGGAGGCAGAGCCAGGACAGGGCCGGAGCAGTTGGCCCTTTGAGGGCCCAAGAGCCTCCCTGTGTCTTTCTCTGGGCTGCCACATCTAGAAGAGGTGCCAGGAAGGCCCAACCCCTCCGAGAACCAGGAGGCTGGACGCCACGCCAAGCAGCCGGGCCAGCTTGCAATTGGCTGGGTCAGGACCCAAGGTGCCAGCGAGACCATCTCGCCTTCTCCATGAGAGCAGGGAAGTAGCAGCGTGAGCCCTCAGGTATGTCTCTGCCATCAGGGAAAGGGCCATACCTTTGGGTCCCCATTACTGAGAGAAAGATGGAAGTGGGAGGTTGGGAAAGGAAAGAGTCTGAGAGAGAAGGATAAAAGAAAAAGAATAAAGAAATCACATCCTAAATAAAGAGATTTCTAGTATCAGATTGAGGAAGGCAAACAGATTTCATCTGGGGAGCAACTGATAGTGGACACAGATATGAAGGCTCTGAGGCTGGGCACGAGTTCAGAGCAAAGGCGTGCTATGAATGATTAGTTATGTCTGCCATGAGCACAGAAGGAGATGCGGGAGAGGAGCCAGGGACTTGATAATCCACCCTGCAGGCTTTCTTCCTGAACACAGGGCCCTTTGACATCTACTCATTTACTCAGCTCTTCATTCAAAGCAACTTTCTGAGCAGCAAGTATGAGCCACCAAAATACCTGAATGAATAAAGAAGGAAGAAATGTTCTTTGGCTATAAATCCCATGTTCTCTGAAAATAATGATCTAAAAATTTATGACAGAGGACACAGTCTTGAGAGATTTTCTAGATGGATAATCTCCAGCTAGTCCTTTCCTTTCACTAAGACTCAGTTTTTCATCTGTAAAATGAGATGATGGTCTGAATATCCCCTACCAATCTCAAGCTCCTACTGGGGAGGCATCTATAATAACAACCAATAAAACACATAAAATGCACCTATTGTGTGCCAAGCGCTCTCAGTATAACACCTTTAACCTTCCTGTCACCTCTGTGAGCCTAGTGCCCATTAGTACCCTGCTCTGCAGATGGGGAGCCAAGCACTGAGAGACTCAGCAACTTGCCCAGGCAATCTGGCTGCAGTTTGTGCCCTGACCATGTGCCACACTGCAGTTCACCCCAAGTCCATGGCAGAGGCAGGGCAGCCTGGTTACTGGAGTGTCCTTTCAGATGATTCCCGTGATGAGCTTTAATTAAGCATTTCCTGCATGTCAGGTACATGGGGCTACAGTGATGGACAAGGGTAACAAACATACATTGGTTAAACCAGAAAGAAAAAAAAACCTTGCACATTTTCAAGTCATTTTCAAACAGTTCTTGTCTGTTTGTTCATTACATATCCTAGGGGGCTAGTCTGAGAGCCGGGGCCATTGCTTCTCCGAGGAAGACATTAAATCTGTGAAGGCTGCTGGGACCTTAGAGGGCAGGGGCACTAAGTGCTGGGCACCGTGGGCCATCTAAGGGGAGCAGAGGGACAGCAGAGCAGAGAGGGAAGGACCTGTCAGCGGAGGTGAGGACTGGGTGTCACACAGCTGTGGAAGGCCGGCCCCTGCCGGTGTCTGCCCGGGCCCCCCATCTGTGTGTCCGACTGGGGCCCCTGCGGCCCCTGCAGGCCGGCCGAGGGGCTCTGTCTTATTCCAGTGGTCGTTCACACAGCTCTCCCAGAGCTCAGGGCCCTGCTTGAACACAGGCCCGGCTCCTCACCCACAATGCCACTCCAGCAGGGATTCTGGACCCTGGGGCGTGGAGCGGGGCTGGCTTCCTTGTTGACACTTCCTGGGGTAAACGGTACTTCCTCGTTGGCACTTCCCTAGGGGGAAATCATCGTTGCCAACCTTTCCTTGGGTGCCAGCAGCTGCCCTTCCTGGGAAAAGACCAGCCTATCTAACATTGGCAGGCCTGGTGGGGGGCAGTGTGTCTGGCTGGTACACACCCCTCGCTTGTGAAGGCCTTGGAAAGCAGGTGTGAACACAAGAACCCAAAATATTTATGGTCTGGTCCTTTACAGAACACTGTCAAGCTGGGAGCCAAGCAGCTATGGGTGTGGGCTCCAGAGACAGACCCCCGGGCTTAGCCCTGATACCTTTCTTCCTCTGACTCTCAGCAGTGTGACCTGACCACGCTGTGCCTCAGTTTCCCCAGCGTCCTCAGCAAGCTGTTGTGGTGTTAAATGGGTTAACCTGGAAGAGTATCAGAGTAGCCCTGGCACCTGCCACTTGTCTTAGTAAGCAACACCCCAGTCAGGGAGTAAAAACCTCAGAAACCTTCGCCTGTTCGGATCTTGCATTTCCTGTTCTACAGCTCTGCGTGGTCCAATTATGCCACCACTGGTCAGGGTTGTGGAAAACCATTAAAACCAATAAATAAAATTAGAAGAGGAGTAATGGAAATGATGGGCTTATTTCCTTCTGAAATAAATGTCAGTGGAACGAGCTGTTCACACCTCCAGCCCTTATTGTTTATGGATTTCTTTGCTGTTTATCTCCCTCTGCATTGGTGGCGTGATCCATAACTGCCTATAAATACAGGGGATTTACAAGAAGGACCGTTTAGGGAATGAAAGGTGGCCCCTGGTTACCTTGATGAGCTCCCACAGGCCAAGGCCACCGTCACAGGTGTTCGGGACGGCCTTGGGGGACGACTGGAAACCCAGGGAGGGGCGGCCGGGTCTGGGGACGCTGCGCACACTGCCGAACACGTGTGTGCGCCTGTGTATCTGTCCATATGTGCGTCCTTCGGTCTCAGTGTTTTTCCTTCTGATTGTGTCCACCATGGTCTTGCCTCTTTCCTCCGGGGTCTGTCGCCCCGTCCTATCCCTGCCTCTCTGGGTTCCTGTTTCCCACACTCACAAGGCGCAGTAGTCCCTTGCCATGATCCCGGCCCACATGAAGGGGCTGGCAGAGAAGGGTGGAATGGAAAGAGGCCGGAGAAGGGCAGACGGTGCACCCGGTCTTCGGTGAGCACTCTCAGTGCGCAGTGTCCGGGAGTAACAGGGACAGAGCCTAGAGAGGCTCCAGTGGGGGCGCATGCTCTGGGCAGCATGGCTCTGGAGTGCAGGGGTGGAGACAGCAGCCCCGGATCCCGCTCCTTAGCTCCTTTCCCAGGCAAGCCACCTCCTGGAGCAGGGCTTTTGAGCACCCACTGCGTGCCTGGGTGCCAGCACCGGACAGGGAAGAGGGGTCCTGCCTGGGGAGAAGCGGCCAAAGTCGGGCCCACTGTGCAGCAAGACTGGGCACCTTGATGGGGGGATTCTTGTAAAGCCAGGCTGGCGCCAGCCAGGTTTAACCAGGGAAAATACTCGCTCCACCTGGCGCTCCGCTCAAGCCTCCCAGCCTGGAGAGAGGAGGGGCTCTGTGCGTAGGGCTGTGGGACAGGGCGCAGCAGAGGTGAAGGGCGCGGTACAGTCCCCCGGAAACGGAGGAAGGAGGGCTGCTCAGTACTGAGCTCATGCTTACCATGCATGAGGCCAGGGTTCAATCCCCTGGGGTGGGGGAAGAACGGAAGGAAGGGAGAGAGGAAGAGGAGGAGGAAGGGAAAGAAAAGAAAGAAAAGGGAAAAATGAAGGAAACCAAAGAAAAGAAATGTCACAACTAAGCAGGCCGAGAGACACTGCAGGCCCTGTGTTTGGGAGGAAGGGCAAACATCCGTGTGGGACTCCCGCCAGGGAAGTGCAGTAGCAGGAAGCAGCAGGAGCAATCGGGCCTATCAACAAGCCCGGCCAGCCCTTCTGGACAGCCGCCCGGCTGCTGACCGCCCCGCCCCCGCCCCAGCACAGGGAGACAGCATCATTCTCACTTCCCAAAGGGAGAAGTTGAGGCCCGGAGAGGGGATGCCCTAATGCCCAGTGCGTGAGACAGCCCATGTCTGTCTGGTCCCAAAGCGTGCCCTCTGTCCCTGCGTCACTGGCTTCTTGCTGCCTGATTCGAGACCAGGTCCACAGCCATGGGCCCAGCTGCCCGCAGGGCATGCCTACGGGAGGGACGTGTTGCGGCTGAGAAGGGACCCCGAAGCCCAGGCTTAGAGCACGGAGCGTGGCTTCCCCAGTGCTCAGGGTCGCCCTGGGCCTGCAGGACACAGGGCCTGTGGTCAAAAGACAGAGCTTAAACATGTGCCTGGACAGCAGCCAGCAATCAGAAGGGACCCGGGGAAGGGTGGGACAGTGGGAGAAGCTGTCCAGTCAGGGAGGGGGCAGCAGTCACAGCAATGCTTTGTGGCCCGCACCCCCAGCCCTCCGTCCCAGCTGGCCAGGTGAGCACGCACTGCCATGGGGCCTTATCAGGGCCTGGGTTGCCAGGCCACGCCCGAGCAATAGGCCCTTTCTTCTGCAGCACTGTAACCTGAATAACAGGTTGTGACAATCTCTGTTGGACAAGAGGGGAAAACTGTTTTCAGGGCTTGGTGGCTGCAGAAGGCATTCCTGCCCCATCCCGTGTACCTGCCCAGCTCCAGCTGGCCAGGCCTGGACTGCAGCTCCAGAGCACCTAGGCTGCCGGGGGAGCAGGCTGGGGACTGCAGGTGCCAGGTGAGCAGCCTTGGACTCAGCCAGGAGGGCATTAGGCTGGCCTGCTCCTCCCCACCCCAGCCAGAGCCAGAAGCCCTGCTTGGCACAGGCACTCCAGCCAAAGGCCAGCATCGCAGCCAGGTAGGTGGCCCACTGCTCCACTGTCTCTCTCTCTCTCTCTCTCTCTCTCTCTCTCTCTCTCTCTCTCTCCCTGTGCTTCTCAATTATTTTTCCTCTGTCTCTTTCTCATTCTCTCTCCCTCTAGCTCTCTCTGTCTCCCTGTCTCTCCCCAGCCCCAGTGGCCCACGCTCTGTGAACACCTGTGTCCGATGACTCTGGCCCTGCTCCTCCAGCCAGTCTGCTTCTGGCACCCCTGGCCCTGCACACACGGGGCCCCTTGTGTGAAAGTCCCCCGACCTCATGCACAGGCCTGCACTCCTGGGCTGGAGGCCACATCCCCAGCACAGCCACAATCTAATATACTTCTGCATCTGAAAAAAGCAAGTTGGTAATTTGAATCTTAGGAAGTTAGCATTTTACAAAAACCTTGTCTGTGGGTTCAGCCAGTTGAGCACAGATCATAACCTGGAAGGAGGGCGGGGGAGCTGGGAGCACTTTCAGAATCCACAAAAGGCGATGTGGCTTGTACTTGCGGTTTAAATATGAAGGCTCCCTGGACGGGAGGCAAGACCCACACTCTGGGCAGAGGGGCAGGACAGGGAGGGCCAGGGTTCCTGCCCCAGGCCCGAGTCCTCAGTGGGCTTTGGAGGCCGCATCTGTTGAGACTGATTCTTAGGGTGAATGAGATTCTGGGGTGGGGCGGGCAAGGAAGAGCTGTGGGAGCAAAGTGACAGCGGGCAGCGAGGCCACCTGCTGCCAGAGGCCTGGGGACAGGAGCCTCCCTGGGTTGACTGCAGGAGTCCCAGACGCTGCACAGCTACAGCCAGCACCGATCTGCCCAGCCCTCTCCTCAGACTCCACAGATGTGTGGGGCCTCTCAAAGCTGCTGTTACCAGTAACTGCCAGCACCTGGGGGTGACATGGGGTGGAGGTGGTGAAAATGATGACCCTGGGCCTGCCCAGGACTCAAGAAGGGAGTAAATTTTGGTTTCTACTCTACTGAGACAAAAGTACTGGCCATGGGACCCATAGGGAATTCAAGGAGTCAATAGCTAGATCCTAGAATCCAAATTCTGGCTCTCACCTTTGCAAGTTGAATAACCCTGGCTTAACCACCATGAGTCTTCCTCATCCCTAAAAGCTATATATGGTAGGTAGATAGGTAGACAGATAGACAGACAGATACAGAGATATAGAGATACATTACCTGGCACAGACTTACCTTAATGTGTGAGTTCTGATCACTCTTCATTCCGGTACATCAACAAAGATCACCTGAGCATCTGCTCCCTAATATTCTGCTCAGTATCTCTTGGCTAGCTGGCTAGAGGGAAGGAGGGAGGGAAGGAAGGAAGGAAGGAAGGAGTGGATAGATAAATGGATGGATGGATGGATAGATGGATGGATGAGAGTGAATAAATCAAATCATCTGTTTTAGTTACTCTTCTCATTGCTGAGACAAAATACCCAGCACCCAAAGTTAGAGGAAAGTTTTGTTTTGGCTCACAGTTTGTAGAGGTTTCAGTCCATAATAGGCTGGCTCCAAGGTAGGATGGCGTGGCCGAGGGGCATCGCAAAGGAGAAACAGTTCATGGCAAAGCAGGGAGGCAGAAGGCAGCAAGCAGTGAAGCAGTGAGGCAGCAGCAGCCTACCTCTCCCTTCTATCCCTTCCAGACTACCCATACTTTGGTTGGTCAAATCACACCCAGGGTGGGCCTTCCCATTATCCACACCCAGAATTAAGCCAAACCAATCAGTGGACTAATTTAGTGATCAGACATCCTTAATCCCAGCCTCATACCCTCTACATCCAGCCACCTCTGAAAAGACCAAGGCTTTGGGGGGTCATCTAGACACAAGACACAACATTGTCCAAGAGACAGTGCCTCCCCTCTACTTTTGATCTCTACATGGTGATTGATAGAAACCTCCAGAGGCATGAGAGAAAGGGAGGTGAAGACAGAGAGGAAAAGGAACATTACTCTTCCTGAACGTAAGAGGCCCTGCTGAAAGGATTATGATCACCTGCCTCAGTTAGTGGCCTCTGCCCCAGTATCACACTTCTCATGTTCAGATGCCAGATGCCACTTTCCCATGTGATTTTCTTCTCTCCCTAGGTTAACACTGACCCAAGCCACTCTTCACCTGGACAGGATGAGAGTGTCAGGTAGGACCTGGTTCTGAGGGTTCTCACAGTTGGGATCTGGGATTCATTTTGGAGTCACTTCCCTGTCGGCAGGGTCTGCCCAGCCTGGGCTCCAGTGGCTTGGTGTCTCTGCTCTCCAACGGCCCAGCCAGAATCCCAGGAGGAAACCGAGCTAGGGGCAGCTGGAAGAGCAGAAGAGGCAACTCTCTGCCTCTAGGCTGAGGGCTGGGGAGACTTTGGTACAAGGGCCCCCGCCAGCCAGAATCCCGGCTTTGATGCCATCTTGGGCATACCAGGCCCTGGCTGAAAATTAGGCACAAAATATCAACCTCAATGGGGTCTATCCCAGCATCCTCAAAGCAGAGGGCTGGGCATGGGCAGGGTGAGGCCCTGTATGCCCCACCCTCATACTCTACTGCCTTTGTACAGTCGGGGAAACTGAGGCAACAAACATGAAATGCACATACATACCCCACTTTCATTCCCAAACAGCTGTGAAGAGTCAGCACTGCTTCCGGCCTCCGCTTACTTCCCTCTGGGTTCAGACCCCGCTTCTGGCACAGCCTGGTGACTGTGGGAAGCGACTGCCTCTTGGTTCCTCACCTGTGCACTGTGAGCAGCCAGTGGCATCGCACAACTGCAGGGTCAGCGTGAGGGTGAACGAGCCCGTGCACTGACAGCTCTGCACACGGTGCCCGGCACGACATGAGTGCTGCAGGCCAGGGGTCCTGACTCCGTGGCGGTCTCACCTCCCGGAGCAGCTGTCAGGCCTCTCCGAAGGTCTACGTGGACTTGGACGAGCACTTTCAACTCCTGCTCCTAGGTCTGCTCCGCCTCCTGTCCCTCATCGCCACGCTGGTGGCCACGTGGCTCTTCCTGCGCAGCTCCGGCAGCCTCAGCGTGAAAACCATCCGCCTGCCGCGCTGGCTGGGTGAGTGGGGCTCGCCGGGCAGGGTCTGGGCTCACGTTTCCTCCCTGTGTTCGCCGCTCGGCCGCCCATCCCTGTCACTCCGTCACCCTTGGGGAAAGAGGAGCCCGGGGCTGGCAGGGAGGCTGGAGCCCAGGGCAACGCAGTGTTCCAAGGCCGGGGTCAACACACGGGCCCGTGCCTGGCAAGGACAGGGAGAAGGGAGAAGGAAGAAAACGTCTCTGCTGAGGGCTTCACGGGCACTTGCTGTTCCCTCCGCCCGGAGCCCCCTCAGGCAGGGTCCTGGGCCCGGGTCGGCGTTCAGGTCTCTGCTCACCCCTCACCAAGCCTCCCGACCTCCCTCTAGTTTTTGCCCCTCCTGTCAGCGGTTTCCCTCACACCGTTCTCACCCGCATCGTGTTGTTTGTGGATTTCTTTCCCCGGCTGATGCCTGTCTCCCCTCCCTAGAACGTCAGTGTCCTGGAGGCGAGGATTTCACTTGTGAACCTGGCCCTCAGCACGTGGCACGGAGCAGGTGCCTACTAAGGAGTCGATGTATTTTTTTAAATGGAACAAGCGGGGGATGAGTGGGTGGGTGGAGGCACGCAGGGACGGACGGACGGACGACAAGTGGGTGAATGGACGGATGGATAAACTGACAAACAACAGGCGGGATGGATGCTAGCAGCTTTGAAAAGCAGTCAGTCTCATGTACTCCGCCCCATGCCCCATGGAGGGACCCGTGTGCGGCCTCGAAGTGGACTCCTCCGTGATCCGTGACACGGTTCCCATGAACCCTGAGAACACAGAAGGCCCGGAGAAGTTAAATTCAGCCAGTTCCCGTGGGGCTGTCATGACAGAAATGGGATCGTGGGTTCCTCAGCTTCAAGTCCTTTCCGATCAGGAGGAGGAAAGGGAAGGGATTTCACCTCTGGATTTGTCCTCCTTGAAGATCAAGAACCACCTCCACTGGCAGAGCTCCTCATGATTGGGGCGGCCCAGGTCAGTCCGCAGCTTCCCGAGGCAGCCAGAAACCAGGCACCCGACTGTAACCCAGCCCACGGTAGAGCTCTGCATCCCTCAGCTCACGGCACGGCTCCGTGTCAGCAGACGCCCAGCCCATGTGGAGGATTTCGTCTATGTAGATGCTCAGTGGCCATCACATCCCCCGCCAGGGGGGACAGCTCTATGGACTCCCCCTCGTCCCCCAGAGATGCACCTGTCTTTACTGACCTCAAAGGGACGAGCCATGTGGTCAGGACGCCCGGGGGGTGTCCAGCCGGGACAGAGCCCCAGATGGAGGGGAAAGGCCAGGAGTTGAAAGCAGTCCCCTGTGATTATTTCTCTCCCACAACTCCACTACCTGTGGCTTTAACAAAACAATTCCTCCCACAAACGTCCATCAGGTGTCAAGCTCTGTTAGGTCTCAGGGACCCCAAAGGGAGGGACAGGGGCCCTTACTCATGGGCTGAGCCAGATAAATGAACAGACGTGATTACAGCATTCACAGAAACAGAAGTGAGCTAGCACGATCCAGTCTCCCAAAATGCAGACAGCGCGCCAGGGAGGAAGCTGGCCGCTAAGAACCGTGTGCATCTGTCCTGGAAGAACAACTTTCATTTATCTCAGGGCTCTCGCCCAGCGTGCACATGCCCCCATTTTATTATTTAGGGCATCCATATTGAACCACGTGGGTTGCTATAGCACCAATTTTTTTATTGTTATTATACTGATAGATAATTGGTTTCCTTTGTCATCCAATTTACTTTATTTTATGTATTTAATAACTTGCAATCTGTGGGGAAAAGGAAGTGCTAAGTCCCCAGGAAAGTGGGTATAAATTTCTTCTGAGGGGAGTTCAAACTACCAAAAGGATCCATGGCATAGAAATCAGGAGTTAAGATTCCCAACTTACCCAGAAAACAAGGCAAAAGTTTTTCCAATGGAAGTGATAAACTCAACTCTCAACTGGTTTCAACAAAACAGCATGTCTTTGTCATGTGATTGGGAAATCGATGAGATCTGGCTTCAAGTGTGGCAAGATGCAGCAGCTTCCAGAAAGCTTCCGGAGCCTGTCTCTGCTTCCTCAGGCTCTGCTTATTGCTACTCCACAGGTCAGAACCCACTTCTGTGGGCAGCCTTCTCTCCCAGGCCGGTACAGCGGCTACCAGCTGTCCAGACACAGCTCAGCTCAGCTGGGAAGGGTGCATTTTCCCCCTTCCACCTCAGGGCCCAGGGACTGTATCAACCCAAGGCAGGGCTCGGCCCCCAGAGCAGTATAACATGACCCTCGGCCCTGCCTGGGTTACTTGCTGCTCCTGGGACCTTGGAGGCAGGGAGTAGGGACGCACCAGGAAGGGTGGCCCCCTGAAGACAGATGGAAAGTGTGAATGTACACGGGATCCACCAGAAAACCACCTGCTGCCATTACTGTGTCCACTGAGGAACCTGTCCTCTAGGTCAGTAATGGATCAATGTGGCGGGAGGCCTGACATAGACTCATGGAAACAACTAGGGCACCATATAAGATGAGATGTGTGGTGGTGTCCAAGGCCCCTGAAGCCCACTGCTGACAGTTGGCACTGCGGGAAGTCAGGAAAGAGACCACAGCATGGGCTACGCCAACAATGGCAAGTCTACCCTTCACGGGGGCCCAGGGCCTGCCCTTACAGACTGAGGGCACTGGGTCCTCTCACAGCCCAGGGAGGGTGGGTGTGATGGGCTCCACATGCAGCCAAGAGCACTGAGGCTCAGGGGTGGGGGTAGAGGGGTAAATGCAACACAGTATGAATTGGGGTCAAACCTCAGGGGCCTCACAGCACAGACAAGCTGCTGCTGCTGCTGCCCCTTCCTCCTCTTCTTCCCCTTCCCCTTCTCCTTCTTCAATATTGGAGATTGAATCCAGGGAGTACTCAGCTATATTCTCAGCCCTTTACAGTTTTTTTATTTTGAGACAGTCTCGATAAGTTGCCCAGGCTGGTCTTGAACTTTAAATCCTCCTGGCTCAGCCTCCCAGAGTGCTGAGATTACAGGTGTGTGCCACCTTGCCTGGCCATAGCTTCTTTTCAACTTGAGAAGTGTGTGTCTGTATGCATGTGTCCATATGTGTCTGTAAGTGCATGGAGAGTTGTAGGGAATGGGAAAGGGGACATTACCAGAACCCCAGCAGTGAGTCCTGGTCTCCTGTGAGCCACTACAACACAAAGCGAATTAAAGAATAAAGACAGGAAACGAGACTTAGAGAAAAAGCTGAGCTTTGGCCCTGATCAGTGCTGCACTGAGCAGCAAAGACAAAGTCACCCTGAGCTTGCCATTATTTATTTGATTTATAGGGAGCATCAGATGATTCAGAGGGCAATGGTAATCCTAAATTGACAAGGATCTTATAATCAGAGGAAATATCAGATGTCTCAGAGGGTAGCTGTAATCCTATGACCATGAGGATCTCATGCTGATGAGGATCATAGGTCGATGAGAAGCTTAAATTGATTAGGATGGTGAGATAACCAAAAGGTTCTTACAGCAGTAGGTGGGATGTTAAGCTGATAAGGAATCTGTCCCTCCACAGGTGAAACTTTTCTACTCAGTTCTCAAAGACCCAGGATGTCTTCAGCTGATATAATCTTGCCCTCAATCATCACAGGATCATGGGACTATTGAGGCCTCAGACAGCTCTAATCATAATTTAATTGTGAAATTTTTCCCCAAAATTATGTAGAATGGCTCCTGACAGAGAGTCTGTCTGTGCATATGTGTTCTGTATGCATATGCATGCATCTGCATGTGTGTGCATGCATGTGTCTCATATGTGTGTGTTGTGTGTGTGGCTGTGTATGAGGGAGGGGCAACAGCAGTAGTGAGTGAGGACTCCCTGATGAGGTGGCACTGCTAGTTCATATCTACAGTGCCACTTTGAAGTTCCTTCTTCCCCCTGCCCAGCCCCAACCCCCACCTTCCTCCTGCAGGGGGTCAAAATGCTTTTCTCTAACCAGATTCTGCCTTCTCTCCCCAGGTTTGGCCCCCAAGGAGATCCGTGAGTATCACCCAGCCCCCCACGTCCTAGGTCCGGATGTGCCAGGGTCTCCATACCCAGTGCTGTGGGTCCCAGAGAAATCTAGATGCCCAGGGCCTGCCCAGCCCATCCCATGGCCAGTGGTGCCCTCTGAAGCCCCCAGCCCTATGGCAGGAGTGGTCGTCCGGCCGTTCACACTGGTAGGCCCACAGCTCCGGGTTTCTCTTCCCCAGATCTGACCACAGGGCACCCCTGCTGACCCCTCCACACCCTACCTGGCTGGGAGCCATGGGTGTCACTACCGAAAGGACCCCAGGCTCAGTTCAGCTGCTAGGAAGTGTCAGGTGCCACCAAGACCCAAGACAAAAAGAGGGGCATTGGGTCGGGGATTTAGCTCAGTGGTTTTGTCACCTGCTGCGCAAGCGCAAGGACCTGAGTTCAATCCCTGGTACCAAAAAAAAAAAAAAAAAAGAGGGGCATTGACTGTTGGGGTGGAAATGCCCGATGGGCCTCAAGAGGGGGATGTCTCTGGGCTCCATGGGGGAGGCCAGCAAGGCTGCAGGCAGGAGGGAGCCCCTCAGCTGGGCTGGGAAGGAGGGTCTGCCCAAGGCAAAGAGCTGCCAGGACTAGGGTGCAGGCCTTGCTGGAGAGTCAGTCACAGGCGGGTGCAGTGGAGTCGGAGCCCTGGGGGCAGGAGTTTTTTTATTTTGAGACACTCTGAGCCCCTGTGGCCTGGGAAAAGGGCTTGCTCAGGCCCCAGGGACAGGAAGGTGGAGGGAGGAGGCAGAGGTGACAGGGATGCGGTGACTGAATGCTCACTCCAGGCCACGTGCTGTGTCCACACTTGGCAGGCATCTGGAGTCGGTCCACACACCCTCACTAGGTGCTAGAGTTGTCCCTCTCTGTCATGAGGACCCTGAGGCTCTTCAAGTTGAGGTCCAGCATCCCCACCCCATCTAATCCACAGACAAGCTCCTCAACGGCCCTTTGCACCAGGCCATGCTGCCAGGCCCCTCTCTCCCCACCCCAACTAAGAGGGCTGCAGCCCCTGGGATAAGTGCTCTCCAGCTAAGGAGGGCATGAGATTACACACAGCAAAGACAAGAGTGTATAAAAACTGCTTGCCCCATACCCCTCACCCCATCTCCCCAGAGCTTCTGAAGTTAGATTCTGAAGCAGACACAGAGAGACAAAGCTCTTGGTTCTGAACACACACACACACACACACACACACACACACACACACACACACACGCTCCATCTGCTGGACAATGGCAAGTTCAAGCATGCTTACCACCTCCTACCCTGCCTGCTTCTGTGCCAGACATCACCAATCAATCCCAGCACCCTTTCCTTCCAGGCCCGCAGGCAGCCTTTACAGTTTTATCAGTAAGTCTATAACACTAGGTCCAAGTTGACAGTTAAAAGGAAACCTGCTTCACTGCCTGATCTAAACCAACTCCCTGATTTCACAGTTGGCAGAGAAGAGCAAGAGAGATGTGACCCAGTGTGGTGGTGAAGAGCACCCCAAGGCTCCTGACCACCCCACTCTGAGCCCTGATAGTATGCCAGCTCCAGCCCATGGGACCTGGACTAGGGTCGCCGGAGGGGTCGGGACCAGGGTTTGGAGCAACAGGTCGGGGCATCCTCTCAGCCGGCACCCGGAGACTAAGTCCTGGCTCCGAGCGGCTGAGGTCCCGCGGTGTCTCCTCCTCCTCCCGCAGCCTGCCTGGGAAGGGGGACGTCAGGAAATCAATTCCGGAAAAGCCTGCTTAAGCTGGGCTGTTGGCTGGGTTTCTGGAGCTGCTGCAGAGGATTAGGCTCTGGGCAAACTGCAGCGGGTCCCCGGGGCCCGGGCCGTCCCCTCCCCGCGCTCGCGAGGGTGTCCAGGCTCAAGAACGACACGGCCTCTGGAGAGGGGCGGGTAAACAGGTGGGGACCCGCGGCGACAGCGGAGGAGGAGCCTCCCCAGCGTCCTCAGTCCTCAGCAGCACGGGGCCCAGGGCAGGGCAGGGCGGGTCAGCTCCGGCCCAGCGGCTCTGCGCCCCGCCGGTCCCCCTAAGCCGTGTGGCCTGCTTTGAGCTCAGTGCCAAAGCACAGTGCCCCACCGGGCGCGTGTGCTGAGGCCGAGCCCCACTGCGCACCGCGACCCCGCCGCGTGTCAGGGGGCACCACTCGCTGGGCCACCTAGCCAGGCACCCAGTCTCCTGCCCCGAGGCGCGGGCACCGCCAGGTCCGCCGGGGCGGAGCCTCCTGGCGGTTGGGACCCTAAGGTCTTGCCGGCCACAGGCGCGGTCATCAGCGGGGCCGCAGGGCTGCCCAGTGCAAGTGCGAGGGCCGGGTCCACCGCCCACCCCCGTGCCGCCCAGGGCCTGGCCCTTAGCAGGTGCTCAGGAAGTGAGGACGGGAGTCCCGACGAGGTGCCCGAGTGCGCTGGGGTGAGGAGCCCAGCGGGGAAGCACTGCAGCCACCCACTCCACAGAGAGGGGTTGAGGCGCGGGAGCCAAGGGACAGGGGCCCCACCCGCCAGGCAGAGGCCCAGGGGAGCTCGGGAGCTCTGTGGCCCCAGGGAGAGGTGCTGGGGGCTCCTCCCTCAGTGACTGTGGTCCCCCCTGCACTGGCTTACCCAGGAGGGCGGAGGGCCGGCCGGGAAGCCAGGGCCTGAGCTTGAGGGGACCCGGCTGAGCCCCTCTCTTCCCGGGCCCTTCCCAAGGCTGCTCTGTTACTCCCCAGGGGTCCCAAAGACCAAGTGTGGCCTCAGCAAGCCCTGCCCAGCCAACTTCTTTGCCTTTAAAATCTGCAGTGGCGCCGCCAATGTCGTGGGCCCCTCCATGTGCTTTGAAAACCAAATGTAAGTACCCGCAGGCATCTGTGCTTCGTTTCTCTTCCTTTCTCTTCCTCCTTCCTTCCCTGGAAAATCCAGGCTTGGGGGCAGCCGCACCTTTCCTAGGCTTCCTCTATCTCCAGGCCCTTAAATCCCAAATAACAACAAATCCGAACAGCCTCAGGGGTTGCCCCACCTCGCTAAGTGGAGCCAGGAGGTGGCCGTCCCGGCCTCTGTCGTGCAAAAGAGGAAAGCCAGGCTGCCCGGCCAAAGGCACAGTCAGGATTTGAACTCAGGTCTGCCCAGCAGCCAAGCTTCCCTACCGAAGGCAGTCCCTAAGGGAAGGATTCAGGATCAGTACCCAGGCATCAAAGTGAGACCTTGCAGGACCAGGGCTTCCCCCCGGGTGCAGGAGCAACTGTGTATCCCTTATCCAACTTCGATAATAAAGGCTCCAGGACAAGCTCATCCTACAGAAGAAGAGTCGAGGTCAGGATCCTGAACCTAGTACAACATGCTTGGGTGAAGCAAGGAACTTATTAGTTCACATGCCTAAAAGGCCAGAGGGCGTGGGGTTCAGGACCAGCTGGATCCAGGGGTTCAGTGGGTATCACCAGGCTCCCTCCTACAACGTCCTGAGCTCCGCTTCCCTCCGTCCCTTAGCTTCCTTTTTCTCTACTAAAAGTAGACGCCTCTGTGTGACGGAGGAAAGGGGCCACCAGCTGGTTGACAGATTAGCCCAGCCCAGTGCCCCGGGAGGAGCCTGCCTCTGCGTTACCCTGCAAAGCCCCCGGGCTGGGCCTCCCTCGCTGCCCGGGGTCCCGTGCGCAGTCACCGTGGCAGCAGCTCCGGGGGCCCGCGTGCCCGGCCTGGAAGAGCGCGGTCAGTGCCGGGCCAGCTGGCGTGAGAGGAGAAGCGCATGACAGGGAGCCATGCCCTGTTCGAGGCCCAGCCGTCCCGGGCCCGGGCAGCTTCCGGGTCCTCGTGGCCCCAGAGCCCCAGCCAGGGACCCTGCCCCTTCTCCCAGCAGACCGACCTGCCCCAAACGTGGGGAGACCCAGCCCCTGGAGCTGGGGACGGCCCGGCGTGGGTCCTGGAGCTCTGCCTTGTGCTGCCTGCGCCGAGTGCGCCCCACTCGGGACCGGGCTTCACTCGCCTCCTTCTCCGTTTTTAGCCTCATGAGTCCTGTGAAGAACAACGTGGGCAGAGGCCTGAACATCGCCCTGGTGAACGGTGAGTGCTCAGTCCCGATCGACCCGGGTGGCGGGGTGGCTGACCCGCCTGGGCTGGGGCGCAGAGGGTCCCCAAGGCCGGGTCGGCCGCTGTCCTTCGTCCCCACCCCCACCCCCAGGAGGATCCCTTCTCCTAGGACGCGTGGAAACCTTGCACCAGGAAGCGGCCCTCAAAGCGACCCATTCCCTGCCTGAGCAGAGGAGGTGTGGCCGGGGCCAGCCCACAGGATCCTCCCTTCACCCCCAAAACCCAGACCCCAGATGAAGCTCGTGCACTTGCCTGCAGTTGCCGCTACGCGCGGCAGCCAGGAATACAGAGCTGCCATCCGCTCTGCAACACCCCCATCTAGTGGCAAAGAGCGAGAACTGCGACTTTCCCGCAAAACTGCCTGTCCCGCGCAGGACTTGAACTTTTGCCTTCTCTAGCCACACAAACAATTCAGATGGATGACCCGACTCTGGGCAACTAAGTACCATTTAGTCCACTACAAATCCCCTTCCCTTCAAAACTTGGGCGGTTTCAATATAGGTGGAAAAAGTGGGGACAACTGTCACTGTTTTCATTACTGTTTTGCAGCCAAAACATATTTGTATGCTTACCATTTTAAGTAATCTCATGGTGGATCCTGCAGTCCATTGTACACATGCACAACTTGAGCTCAGAAATGCTGCGTTGTCCATCAGCAGCCAGCAGGATAAGACGCAGACCCAGACTGGTCATATTCGGTTCAGTCCCCGAGGCTCTCAGCTGCTGTGTTCTTATACCCCTCCAATCCACCCAGCAACTGTCAAGCACTCCTCTGGTCCCCCACATTCCCTAGAGGACCTGATTCCACTCCGTGCCCGTTCTGTGATTAGACCTTAGACTGCTGAGTAGCCGATTTCTGAAAAAGACCAGCAGCATGCTTCACGTTGCAGGAAGTGACCGTCTGCTCTCTTGCCCACTAGGAACCACGGGGCAGATGGTGAGGATGAGCTCTTTCGACATGTACTCCGGAGGTAGGCCCGCTGGGGGGACCCCGTCCCTCAGCCAGAGCCCGGCTGCAGCTGAGGGGTTGAGGGTGCCTGCTGACCGGAAGGCCTTGCTGGGTGGGCGCTGGGACCTCCAGGCTTGGGTTCTGGGACAGGGGTTCAGGTGCAGCAGGAGTTTGGGAGGTAACCACAGGCATCCTTGGGGTGGGGAGCGAGAGGAACCAACACTGCATAAGCAGCCTTCACACACTGCAGGCGGTCAGAGTCCAGAGGGGCCGGGAGGGGCCGAGGGCCCGGTTCCTCTGTGGACCACCCGGGCTACTGTGGGCCCTGGAGGCTGGGGATCCTCCAGCCTCGGAGCCCCCCACCTCTGCCCACTCAAGCACTGCTAGGGAAAGTGCTTGTTCCAAGGTCTCAGGGTGTCTATTGCAGCCAGGGTTTGGACACGGCCGCTGAAGTCCAGGAAAGACCTCTCTGGGGCCCTCGCTCCATATTTTTGCAGGGGCCTGCATTTCTCTGGCTGCACAGACAGACTCTCTGGGCTTCTCTGCGCCTGTGGCTGCCCCTTAGAAAGTCACCTTGGCCACAGCGGGGGAAAGGGCACTGAACAGGGCTGGGGTCCCAGGCTTCTAGGTTCCCACTGGCAGCTTGGCTGGGGGTTTGATGCTTTGCTGTCAGAGTACTGAAATGCTCGATAATTCCTTAATGAAAGGCCCCCCATTTTCATTTTGCACAGGGCTCCACCAACTATGGCGCCAATTTTACTAAGAATGTATAATCCACTAAAGTGCATTTACTTTTTGCTCAGTCACGGCCACAGTTAAGCTTTACCAAGATGCTGTGAGCTGAGCTGTTCCGCATCGTCATTTACAGAGGTGTTCCTGCCCTAATGAAGAAGCCCCCCCTTCCCAAATGTCAGCCACTTAGCAGCACCTTTCTCGGGCTCCCCCTCACCCAGAAACACTGCGCTGCTAGCAGCTCACATTTTCTCTGAGTATAGAAAACTGTATCACTGCCCTAAGTGAAGGCCATCATCACAATGCGAGAGACTCATCAGTCCACTCTCCGGAGCTCACAAGCCTCCCGGTACTGACCCAGCCAGTATCTGTCCCGTCAGAGGGCCACGGTTCAGGGGGCACTAGAGACACAGTGCCTTGCTCCCCAGCACAGCGGGAGGGTGAGGGCCTCGAGGCTCAGCCTCTGAAGCCACACAGAGCACCTGGTGTGAACCAGGCAGGGTGGCAGAGCCCACAGTCTCCGTCCCCTGGGGAGTGGGCCCCGAAGGGTCCTTTGTAGTTGTTCTTATTGTTGTTCTGGGGCAGAGTCTTGCTACCTCATCCAGACTGGCCTTGAACTCACTGTGTAGCCTGGGCTGGCCTAGAACGCGTGGTGACGTCCTCCCTCAGCCTCCCCAGGACCAGTTCGGAAGGGCCCTTGGACAAGTGGTTCATCCCAGTGCCCTGGGGAACTTTAACCTGCCGGTGTCTGTCACGCCCACCCCTGGATGGGGACCCTGTCGCTCGGCTCACCCTGGCTCCCAAGCCCTGAGCTGCAGGAGCCCGCCCCAGCGTGCTGCCTTCACCCCCACCCGCCCCGCCCCGCCCCTGGGTCCCAGTTTGGTCTCAGCCCGCCCCCGGCTGCCCCCAGCCCAGGAGGGCAATGGGAGGAGAAGAGAGCGACCCCAATGCCCGCTCTTAGTCCTCTCCCTTCCCCAGATCCCAGCCTCCTGCTGAAATTCCTCACGGAGATCTCCGAGGGCACCCTGGTGCTGGCGGCCTCCTATGACGACCCGGGGACCAAGTAAGGCAGTCCCCACCTGCGGCCAGTAGTGATGCAAACCAGCGCTTCCACACCCCGGTGCCTCCTCTGCCCTGCTGCCAGCCCCTCCTCTGATGACTCACCCTAGGGAGATAAGCGGGCTCGGGCACAAGGAGATGTCCTTCGAGGTTCGTCCCCGCCTTCGAGACAGTCACGGCTGCTGGTTACAGAGCCATGAGGGGCGGTGATCCATGACCTGCTCGTAGGTGCACAGAGGGGTCCACGACACCCTGATCAGTGGTGTGGAGGATGTGTAGGGACACGGAAGGCTCACCCTCTGGTGCTAAGTGACAGAAAAAGCAGTGTAGAGTGAGTGCCACAGGCTGGCTCGAAGCCTGTGACTAGCTTCATGCCACATGGTACCGGTACCGTACGCTGGGCCATTTGTGACCCCGTCTTAGTCTGTGTAAGCACAGCGTAACAGTCACAGTGACTGAGTCGCCTACCGACACCTTTTGAGAGCGCAGCCGTCGTTAAGTGAATTGTGACGGTCTTAAAGGGCTTACAGTGACTGCGGTAAAGGAGGTGAGAATATGGCTCAGTCACCTCTGTGAGGCCCCAGATGTCATGCACTGTGAAGGAACTGGGACTGCCTGACGCGTCTCCAGCCCTGCAGCCAGAGGCTTCTGCAGAAGGAGCCTGGCCCCTTCTTCATCCCTGAGAACCCCCGCCCCACCTGGTGTCCTCGCTGCCCGTCCCCACCGACCCTGTGTCCCCCCAGGATGACTGACGACATCAGGAAGCTCTTCTCCAGCCTGGGCAGCTCCTACGCCCAGCAGCTGGGCTTCCGGGACAGCTGGGTCTTCCTGGGGGCCAAAGACCTGCGGAATAAAAGCCCTTTTGAGCAGGTGGGTTCCCCACCACCCTCGGCCCCATGGATGCAGGGGCTGCGGGGTGGGGGCGGACTAGACAGCCTGCACCGAGCAGGGGCAGCGGGAGAGCCAGCGGGAGAGCCAGCGGGCTGTGGAAGGAGTCAGGAGGTGGCACCTGGAGCTGGACCTGGGTAGAGGGGCTCCCGGGCACCCCGACGTGGGGCTTCAGGAGCTCTCAGGGAAGGAGGGCACAGATGGAGCTTGGGGGCCCTGAGGAAAATGGGGCAGCCCCGTCCGTGTATCCCCAGCTTGGAGGGGCTCGGGAAGCCTGGCAGAACAGACAAGCTGTCCCCAGCACCAAGTGAGGGCACTCACTGAAGCCCAGAGTCCCAGACACCAGGGGAGCAGGCTCAAGGGAAGGTGGTGGGGAGCCTGGGCGGCTCAGGCAGGAGAGTGGCAAGCTCAGACTCATAAAAAGAAAAACCAGCGCTCAGCAAGAGCTGCTGTGCTCAGGCGCTGTGGAGCAAGTTACCTGCGGGCCCCATTTAACACTCGCAGCCATGATCATCTAAGCTCCAACAGAAGCCGGGGATGGGGGCTTCTCGCCAGCCCACTCAGGTCTGGAGCCATCGGTGGGGAACGCATTGCCCTCCCGGGGAGAGCACAGGGCATCAGGGAGGGACCCAGGAAGAGGCTGAGCCTGCGCCCACTGGGCCAGGGCTGCTCCTCCCTGGAGCGAAAAGTCCAGACTGTCAAAGGTGCCGGGCGTATGGCACCTAAAATCTCAGCACTCTGGAGGCTGAGGCAGGAGGATCCCTGGTTTGAATCCAACCAACTGTCTCAAAATAATAAAGGGCTGAGAATGAATGTAGCTTGGTCTGAAGGCCCTGAGTTCAATCCCCCCCTACTGAAGGGGGTAAAAAAGTGGCCAGAGAACAAATTGGAAGGAAGAATCTCAGCACCACTTCTAGCTGACACTTAGGGTCAGCTGACCGCGACCCAAAACCCACAGCCCAGAGTCCAGTGCGTCCTTCTTCCATGCAGGGGAAACGGGATGCCAGAGAAGCAGCCCCAAGAACTCCCTTTTCTCTCCCTGAGTAGTTGTGTCACTTATTTCAATGGCAGATTTTTCCACTTACATTTTTTCTTCCATAAACTCAGCCTGAGAATTTTAAATACAACCTTAACTCATTTTATTTTCTTCAAATATGCATGGGTAGAGCTCCTTAACGTTCCACAGTGGCTCCACCACTTACCAGCAGGGGGAGCATGGCAGGCCCTGTCACTGTCCGTGCCTCTGTTTCCCCATCTGTACAGTGGGTGCTGATTAAACATAAAGGCAGTCTGGGAGAGCGACTCTCATACCGCAAGTGCTCGGGAATTGCCAGATCTTTCATTTATTGATTTTTTTTTTCCCGGTACTGAAGATTGAACCCAAGGCCTTCACAGTGAGCTCCATCCCCAGCCCTTCTTTTTTTATTTGTTATTTTGAGTCAGGGTCTCGATCAATCACTACGTTGCCCAAGCTGGGCTGAACCTTGTGACCCTCCTGCCTCAGCCACCCAGAGTGCTGGGATGACAGGCGTGCGTGCGCCACAAGGCCTGGCTATCATTAGGGTTACTTGGTCGTCTGGGGGGGCTGATGGAGAGTGCGGAGGAGGGGCTAAAGCTCCTGGAGCATTTCCCCCATCCTTGGAGCCCCCACCCGGCAGCAGCTGTTCCCCGTTCTGAGGCCTCAGTGGCGTCGCAGCCCCTCTCTGAGCCTCTGTTTCCCCATCTGTGAAATGGGGCTGAGGTGAGCGGTCAGCGAGGCACCTGAGTGCTGAGCCCTTGACAGCATTGTCTGCCTTCCTCTCTCCCTCTTTCTCTCCCTCTCTCCCCAGTTCTTAAAGAGCAACCCAGAGACGAACAAGTACGAGGGCTGGCCGGAGCTGCTGGAGCTGGAGGGCTGCGTACCCCAAAAGACATTTTAGGTGGCTGTGGCTCCTGGAACAGCGCCCCAAGGCTCCTGCCTGCGCCGGGGCTGGGATGGCAGCGGAGAAGCCGGTCCGGGGCCGGAAGGCGCCCCCCTGCTGTGCCTGAGACTCTTCCCCTCGGCCTGAGGAGCCTGGCTGGTGCGGGGGCCATGTCCCCCAGGCCCAGATGCGGGACAGCCATCTGGAGAGAGCAGATGCGCTCTCCCGCCGGGGCTGCCCGGGGCCCGTCCCAGGAAGGACCGGCTGCTCACTCTCGAGCAACATTAAAGCTTAGTTTTGCTCACTGGGGCTGAGCTTCCCTGCCCGGGGTGGGGGGTGGGGGCCTCCTCTCTCCCCGGATTGCCCGGTTCAGGCTGGCGAAATGGGCTGCGGGTTTGGACGGGGGGTGGGTGGCAGCATGGGCGCACCGTGAGGCCGCTGGAGCGGAGCTGCGTGTCTCGGGGACCCTTGGGGGAAGTCCTCGGTCCCCAGGTTCCGGGCCAGATGGCCCGACACCGGGAGAAGCAGGGGTCGCGACGCCGAGACCATTGTTCAACCAGCTGCTTGGAGGACAGCGGCGGCCAGGGCCGCGAGGTGGAGGCAGGGCAGGGCTGGGACCCAGCGGCGTGGGGACCCGGAGCCAGCCGGGCCTGGGGTGGGCGCCCCGGGAAGCCCGGGGCTCAGGAGCAGGCGAGCAAGGGGAAGCCCGCAGATGGACGGGAGGAGGCGCTAGGTCCCTCGGAGGCTCTAGGATTCCATGGGCACGGGGCCCTCCGAGCTGCCTGCCCTGCCGAGTAGGGACGGGCTGACACCCAAGCCCCAGGGCGATCTGCTCAGGTGGCTGTGTTGGGCCCATGTGACTTCCGGGGCCCCTCTGCGCGGCCCTCAGAGGGGAGAGGCGTCTGTGGCTCTGCGGTGAGCCCCAGCGGAGACCGAGGTCGCAGTGGAGAGGGATCCGGGGCTGAGACCCGACAGGCTGCTGAGTCCCAGGCAGGGTCCGGAGCAGAGTGCTCAGGCCTCAGCCTCCAGAGCACGGCTAGGGCCGCGGGTGTCCCGGGAAGAAGCCCCCAGCCCACCAGTGGGGGCTCCATCCCCAATCCCCAGGACAGGCGGGACTTCCAGGGTGCCAGCGCAGTGAGGAGGAGGACGCTGGAGTGCGGGCCCCTGACAGGCCGCGCTGGGTGGGCACACGGCTGGGGAAGTCCAAGGAGAGAGCTGACCGCCCAGCCCCACATCCCGCTCCCGGTGCACCGAGAGCAGCCTGCAGACACTCTCCGAGCCCACGCCAGTGCTGTTTAATCCTTTGGAAAACACTTGGCCAGAAACCTGCCCCAGAAAGAGAGCGGCAGGAGATTTCCACTGTGGCCATGAACACTTTTGCCTGCTTGGGAACTCGTCTTTACAACAAACAAGAATACCTTATAAAATTTAAAGGGCACCAATGCGGATTTCTAAGGTGAGTTCACTGCCAGCGGCAGGGCAAGACAGAGAGTCCTGGGCAGCAGCCACTGTCCTAAAATGCCACGGCCTTGGGTGTGTGAGCAGACACTTGGCAGGCTAGGCACAGTGCACGGGGCTGTGAGGAAGTCAGAGAGGGAGCAGGGAGGGGGCAGGACTTGGTGCTCTGCCAGCTCCCCTCTTCGGGCCACATTTGCTGCTGACAGTCAGCCTGCACTCGGAAACTCCCACTTCTTTGCTGGCAAAGGCAGAGGAGGAGGGGCTGGAGTTTATGTCCCCTCTGATGTCCCTTTGCCAAGGATGGATCTGACTTGGGGATGTGAAAGCCTGGTGAAAACCACAGGTGAAATTTACACTCCAGAGGCCGGGCTGGGTCTGGTCTGGCCGACGCTGGACTCTGCCTGAGATGTCCCTCAGCTCAGCTGCCTCCCCCTCTGTTATAGCTGTGTCTAGACGCCCGAGCCCAAAAGCTTCATTCGGTCATAGGTGGGCCTTTTTCAGAGGTGGCTGGATCTGGAGTGAGTGATGCTGGGATTAAGGGTGTGTGATTGCTAAATTAGTCCACGGATTGGTTTGGCACAGTTCTGGGTAGGATTAGGGGTGCCCCACCCTGGGTGTGAGTAGTACCCAGCCTAAGATGGGGTATCCCGGATAAAATGTAAGGGACAGGAAGAGGGCTAGTGTGTCACTCGTGGCCTGTGGCTTGCTGCTTGCTGCCTTCTGCCTGCCCAGCTTTGCCATAGATGAACTGCTTCTCCTCTGCGATGCCCCTCTGCCATCCCACCCTGCATGGAGCCAGCCAGTTATGGGCCGAAACCTCTACAAAGTATGAGTTGAAATAAACCTTTCCTCCTTTAACTTTGGATGTGGGGTATTTTGTCTCAGCAACGAGAAAAGTAACTAAGATGCCTTCCCTCGCTGTTCCTTCTCTCCACTACCGGTAATCCAGGACCGGTTCTAATAAATCACCTCCATGAGAACCCTCACCCCAAAGTGTCTGGGGGCTCGCCAGGCATGCCCAGGGGGTGGCACTGAGCCAGGCTAAGAGAGGAGCCCTTCCATCTGGGGGACTGGCTCTCCCACAGGAGCAGGGTGCTGAGTGAGGCACTGCCTGCTGTCCCCCGCTGTCCACATACAACAGGTGGACACGGCCACGGGGCCGGCAGACACTACAGTCAGGCCACTCCTCCCTCCTACCCCCAGCAGGTGCAGGGTTCCGTGGAAACCACCCAGTGGCCATCATGGTGCTTCTACCACCAAGGAGATGGCAGTCCGAGCCAGCCACGTGGGTAAGTGCCGAGAACACGGCAAACAGACCACCAGCTAGCTCAGGGCTGGGGCAGGGCAGGAGTCTAAGTGTCAGAACACGTTGCACTGCCAGGCGAGTCCCTCCAAAAACGCAGGCCCAGCAAGGACCCCAAGCAAGAGCAGCAGTGGCTGCAGGCTGCAGGCCCCGCCACGGCCCTGAGCGGGAGGCACCCGATGGAGCCACATCCACAGCGAGTCCTTGGCCTGTGCAGGAGTCGGCGGGCGGAGCAGAGGGAAGGACATGCCAGGCCTGGGACAGCAGGAAAGAGCCTGGAGGGGCAGAGGTGGCCACAGGACTGGGCACAGGTGAGCACATGGAGGCCTCCCGGACTGGGCCTGGGGCAGGCAGATGGGCTGTGCATTTCGTGTGAGCTCCTGGCTGTTGGCTGGGGAGCGAGTGGAAGCAGGCAGACCGGTGAGGAGCTCTGTATCATCCAGGACGGACGTGGAGCCCTGGACCAGGAGGGGCCTTAATTATGGATGGGAAAAGGGGCGGCGGGGAATCCCTGGAAGATTCAGAAGGTAAAGTGGGTGAGACTTGGGGCCGATTTCTCATAGAAATTCTACAAGCTAGTCATGGCGCCGGATTCGGGACTGCTCGATCCCTGCGGGGTGCGCCCACCCCACCGCCATAGCGAGCGAGCCTGGGGCGACCGCCCCCAACCCCGCTGGCAGGCCCTGTAATTCCGCTAATTCCGCTCCTCGCCAGCAGGTGGCAGCCAAGCTAAAGGGAGGGGCGCTGTGGGGACCACGTGCTGAGCGGGCAGGCCGCTGTCTGGCCCGGGGACCGGGATTTAGCCCTGACCAGAGGATAACGGCGCTCGGCGCCACCCTGCGGTGGACAGCAAGAGGCCAAGGTGGCCCGGGTCGCCATGGAGACAGGGCCGCCTTCCGGCCGTGCCCGGGCCCTGACCCCCGAGCCGACTCGCGCCTGTCGGGCCACCCCCGGGACCCCCAGCAGATGTGTGCGCCGCCCCACCAGCCATTTCCCCCGGGAATTGTAATTATGGAGCGGCAGCCAGGGTCGGATCGGCGGGGTTGACTCGCAGCAGCGCTACTGCTCCGGCTGAACTGCCAGGTCAGCCACTGCCCTTGCAACCCTGCGAGCTGTCTTCTTGCTGCCGGAAGGGAGGGGCTGTGCCCAAGCCAGGAGTGCCCAGGGAGAAAAGCAGTCGCCCCCCCGCCACGCGCGAGGCAGGGCTGGCCCGGAAGCAGGGCCACGGGAGGTGGAGGAACACAGCAACCACCGTAACACAGAATGAGTCGTCGTACAAGGCATCGAGGCTCGGTCACGGGAGCTGATGACTCACTGCTAAATAAACGGCGTCTTAGACTACTCCATTGAATCATTTAATCATTCCTTCTTCCACCAGCACCCGCTGAGCAACTACAGTGTGCCAAGCACTGCTCTAGACCCAGGAGGTAAACTGAGGAACCAAACCGGACCAGGTCCCAGTCTTTGTGGAGCTGCCATTCCAGGCAGAGACAATAAACAGAAATGATATCATTGCAGTCTCTAAGTGCTATGAAAAAATAATGAACAGGGGAGCTGAGAGGCTACTTTGTACAGAGGGTTGGAGAAGGCTTCTCTGATGAGCTGATGACTGACCCTGAAGAATAAAAAAGAAAGAAGCACACAAAGGTCAAAGGTGAGACAGGCATTTGAGCTTCGAGAACAGCAAGTGAAAAGGCCCTGGGGTGAAGAGGGAGGTGCTATAATCCCAGAACTTCCTGTCGGAGAGGGGAGTTGGAAATGAGGTTCTTGAGGGAAGCGAGGCTTGATAGATCCACCTCATGGACCTGGGAGGATTTTGTGGCGACCACTGGAAAAGACCTCCATCTATGGTTCCCAGCCGTGTGCTAGGGGACAGGGATGGCAGCAAGCTCCCCCACCCCAACTCTTGGAGAGGGTGCTGTGCTCAGTGAGCCTGTTATCTGGGACTCACCAGTGGGCAGACGGTTTGTCATCAGTCGTTCCTGCAGCCTGGTAACAGCAGCACCTCGCTGAGCAGAATCACTGTTTCCCGCTGCCCTGCTCAGGCAGAACACAAATTTCTCCGCATTTCATGCTCACCGCACCGCAGGCAGCCAAGGTCAGCCCCTCGCCATCAAGTGCAGGATCATAAACAAGTGACACGATCCAGTTCATGCTGTAAAGGGACATCAGCCACACAGACCTTACCGCCTTCAGCCCTGTGCAGACAAATGATTATATTCACACACACACACACAGGCAGATGAGGAGATGGAGTGAGATCAAATCACGTCCCCGACACAGCTGTGAGGGGCAGAGCTACAACCCCAGTCCAGGTAGTTGAAGTCTTCATCTCCGCCCGGCTGGCATCGAGGACAAGGGCGGGCCCGCAGATAAGGAGGCGGTGACCCCAGGGTGCTCTAAGAACTTGGCCTGAGGCCTGGAGTCCAGCCTCCAGACACTGTGCTGGCCCCCACTCAGCTGCCTGCTGCCCTGCTGAACAGAGGAGTCTGCTCCAAGTTTCTGCTCCCAGCCAGCCCTGGGCCCTGAGTGTCTTCAAAGGGG